TTCACTATTTGGATGCTGCCCCTAGATCCCTATTTTGCGAGTCGAACTTGTTTTTATAATGGTTTGGGATAGCATAACCATTTTATACTATAACATCCACCTACCCCACATAAATCGCATACGTAAAATTTCTCATCAATTTGTATATTTTCCAATTTCTTATTTTATGCTGGCCCCTAGTCCTATGTTGAGTCAAAATTGATTTTTATTATTTTATATCAGACCCATTTTTAACTAAACAGGCCACCTACCCCGACAAAACCATACGAAAGATTCTCAGTCTGATTTGTAAGATTTACCATTTTTCCCTATTTTGGATGGTGCCCCTGATCGCCTGAGTAGTTTGAGAGGTAAATCTTTTTTTTAATTTTGGATACAGTAACCCATTTTTATAACAAACATGCCACCGACCCCAACTTAAATCTCATACGAAAATTTCAATCTTAATTTTGTCCAATTCACTATGTTGGATCGTCCCCTGATCCGAGTTTGACGAAACCTTGTTTTATGATTTTGGGATAGCATACCCATTTTTATACTTAAACTGCCACCTACCCCGAACATAAATCGTATACTAAAGTAGTTTCTATCTGATTTACCAGATTCACTATTTTGGATGCGTGCATCTTGATGCCCTAGGGTTCGAAACTTGATTTTTATATGGTTGTTACAGACCCATGTCCATACAAAACACCATCCGACCCCGGAACATAATTCGCTTACTTATATCACAGTCTTATTTGTATATTGACCTGATTTCAGCTATTTTGGGATGGCGTGGCCTAGTACTAGTTTCGAGTCAAACTTTGGTTTTAATTGTTTGGAGAGCAGTACCCATTTTTATACTTAATCATGCCACCTACCCCAACATTAATCGCAACAGGTAAAATTCTCATCTGGATTTGTATGGATTTGACCAGATTTCAACTATTTTGGATTTGTAGCCCCTGATGGCCTGAGTGTTAAGTCGTAACTTGTTTGATGAAAAAAAAAGGGTTTGGATGGGGGGAGCCAACCCATTTTATACTAAAACTGACCACCTACCCTGAACATTAAATCGAATACGGTAAAGATTCCTCATCTGGATTTGTAAAAAAAAAATGATTACCTGATTTCAGCTATTTTGGGATGGCTGGCCCCTAGGATCCTAATTTGCAGTCGAACTTATTGTTTATGATGGTTTATTCCAGTAACCATTTTTTATACTAAAACATCCACCTACCCCAACAATAAATCGCAACGGGGTAAAGATTCTCAGCCCAAATTGTATTATTTTACCAGATTTTCAGCTATTTTGTGAAGGCTGCCCCTGGAGTGACCCCCCCCCTGATGGTGGAGTCAAACTTGATTTTTAATTTGATACAGTACCCATTTTTATACTAAAACCCACCGACCCCAACTAAATCGCATACGGTAAAATTTCTCATCTATTTGTAGAGATTTGACCTAATTTCAGCTATTTTGATGGTTGCCCTGATCCCTAGTAGTTTGAAGAAACTTGGTTTTTATGATGTTTGGATAACAGTACCCATTTTTATACTAAAACACCACCTACCCCAACAAATCCTACGGTAAAATTTCAATCCATGATTTTTCCAGATTTCAGCTATTTTGATGGCTCCCTAGGCCTATGAGTCGAAACTTGATTTTATGGTTGTTATACATCCCATTTTATACTAAAACAGCCACCTACCCCAACATAAATCGCATACGGTATATTTTCCAAATCTAGTATACCTATTCAGCTATTGATGGCTGGCCCCCTGGATGCCTATTGAGTCAAACTTATTTTATGATGTTTAGGATAGGCATAACCATTTTTATACTAAAACATGGGCACCTACCCCGAACATAAATCGCATACGGGGTAAAGATTTCAATTCTTGATTTTACCAATTTCCAGCTATTGATGCTCCCTGATGTCCGGATGGTTTGGGAGGTCAAACTGATTTTATGATATAATTGATAGCAACCCATTTCATACAAAACACCACCTAACCCAACATAAATCGAATACGGTAAAATGCTCATCTGGATTTAATGATTTGACTGGAATTCCACTATTATGGATGGGCTGGCCCCTGTGAGTGGCCTAGTGTTGGCATCAACTTGTTTTTATATGTTTTGAGTGGCATAAACATTTTTATCTAAAACATCCACCTAACCTCAACATTATCCATACAGTAAAGATTCTCATCTGATTTTATGTTTGAAAAATCACTATTTTGAGGGGCCCCTGGATGCCTGAGTGGTTGAGATCGAAACTTGTTTTTATATGTTGGATAGGCAGTACCCATTTTTATACTAATACATGCCAACACCCCAACATAAATCGCATACGGGGTAAAGATTTCTCATCTATTTATGATTGCCTGATTTCGCTATTTTGGATGCTGCCCCTAGATCCTAGTTCGAGTCGAACTTGTTTTATGATGTTTGGAAGCAACCCATTTTTTATACTAATACATGGGCCTCTATCCCGGAACATAATCCATACTAAAATTCTCATCTGGATTTGGAATGATTTTTACCAGATTCAGCTATTGGTTCTCCCTGAGTGCCTAGTGTTAGGTCCGAAACTTGATTTTTAGATGTTTGGATATGCATACCCATTTTTATACAAAAACATGCCACCTACACCGAACATAAAGCGCATACGGTAAGAGTCGCATTGATTTGTATGATTTGACCTGATTTCACTATTTTTGATGGTGTGGCCCTATCGCCTAGATTTGAAGTCAACTGTTTTTATATGTTTGATAGCAGTACCCATTTTTTACTAAACATGCCACCTACCCCGAAAATAATCGCATACGGTAAAAGATTTCATCTTATTTACCAGATTTTCAGCTATTTTTGGATGGGCGTTCCCCTGGAGTGGCCTAAGTGTTGGGATCGAAACTGATTTTTATGATGGTTGGAATAGGCAGTACCCATTTTCATACTAAAACATGGCCACCTACCCCGAACATAAATCGCATACGGGGTAAAGATTCTCAGTCTGGATTTGTATGGGATTTGACCTGGATTTCAGCTATTTTGGGATGGCGTGGCCCCTGGAGTGGCACTAGTGGTTTGCGAGGTCGAAACTTGGTTTTATGATGGTTGGGATAGGCAGTACCCATTTTTTTATACCTTTAAAACATGGCCACCTACCCCGAACATAAATCGCATACAGGGTAAAGATTCTCAGTTGGATTTGTATGGGATTTGACCAGGTTTCAGCTATTGTGGATGGTTGGGTGGCCCTGGGAGTGGCCTGAGTGGTTTGAGAGGTCGAAACGTGTTTTTTATGATGGTTTGGGATAGGCAGTACCCATTTTTATACTAAAACATGGGCCACCTACCCTGGAACATAAATCGCATACGGGGGTAAAGATTCTCAGTCTGGATTTGTATGGGATTTGACCTGGATTTCAGCTATTTTGGGATGGGCGTGGCCCCTAGGAGTGGCCTGAGTGGTTTGCGAGGTCGAAACTTGATTTTTATGATGGTTTGGGATAGGCAGTAACCATTTTTATACTAAAACATGGGCCACCTACCCCGGAACATAAATCGCATACGGGGGTAAAGGATTCTCAGTCTGGATTTGTATAGGATTTGACCTGGATTTCAGCTATTTTGGGATGGTTGTGGCCCCTGGGAGTGGCCTGAGTGGTTGAGAGGTCGAAACGTGGTTTTATGATGGTTTGGGATAGGCAGTACCCATTTTTATACTAAAACATGGGCCACCTACCCTGGAACATAAATCGCATACGGGGGTAAAGATTCTCAGTCTGGATTTGTATGGATTTGACCTGGATTTCAGCTATTTTGGGATGGGCGTGGGCCCCTAGGAGTGGCCTGAGTGGTTTGCGAGGTCGAAACTTGATTTTTATGATGGTTTGGGATAGGCAGTAACCATTTTTATACTAAAACATGGGCCACCTACCCCGGAACATAAATCGCATACGGGGGTAAAGATTCTCAGTCTGGATTTGTATAGGATTTGACCTGGATTTCAGCTATTTTGGGATGGGTGTGGCCCCTGGGATCGGCCTGAGTAGTTTGAGAGGTCGAAACTTGGTTTTTATGATGGTTTGGGATAAGCAGTACCCATTTTTATACTAAAACATGGGCCACTTACCCCGGAACATAAATCGCATACGGGGGTAAAGATTTTCAATCTTGATTTTTTCCAGGATTTCAGCTATTTTGGGATGGGCGTGGCCCCTGGGAGTGGCCTGAGTGGGTTGGGAGGTCGAAACTTGATTTTTATGATGGTTTGGGATAGGCAGTACCCATTTTTATACTAAAACATGGGCCACCTACCCCGGAACATAAATCGCATACGGGGGTAAAGATTTTCAATCTTGATTTTACCAGGATTTCAGCTATTTTGGGATGGGCGTGGCCCCTGGGAGTGGCCTGAGTGGGTTGGGAGGTCGAAACTTGATTTTTATGATGGTTTGGGACAGGTACTAACTATTTAAAACCCTAAACCTGTTCCAAATACCCCGGAACACAAATCGCATACAGGGGTGAAATCGCATACAAATCGCATACACAAATCAAGGAAACGTGCTCTCAAGTCCCCTCGCGCAACATTAAACATACTTGTTTTACCTGACAAATGATGCACGTTTAAATATTTTTGAAATCGCGCGTTCCAATAATGCTTCTCGCTAGATCGGCGAAGAATTGACATCGTCAATTAACAAGTTAGGTAACATTTCACTTTTCGAGCGCGAAATGCAACATGTATCTCAGCGCGCGCCTGATACTGTCTCCAAGATGTATAATATTAACCCCGGGCTTCGAACTCTGCGAAGTAGCGCGTGCCGGATTTGGGATAAGTCCACAATATTAATGGCAAATCTGAAGCCGGTCTTGTGTCTGAAATGGCAACGTCAACTATCTTTCAAAATCTACCGCCACCGGGAGCGTTTCAAGACCCTGGTTTACCTTGTCTTACACCGTCTACCTCTAATTGTGCCCGGACAAATTGAAACAGGAATTTTAATAATTGATAACCAGTTAAGCCGTAGCAAAGATATTCAAATAACATAATATTAATACGATTGACAGCATAAAAAATTCAACCATTATAAATATGCCACTGCACCATGATTATGGTGGGATTGATTGTCGATTAACATGTAACATATTTTTATTGAAATTAGTATATTGGAGTTGAACATCGATGTAATAGAGGGAAATACAAATCGAAAAAAAAAGTATGTAGAAATATCAAATAAATATTGAAATTTGAAAACAATTTTAAAAGATCCATGCAAGCTAAATTCTAAATAAACATAAAAAGATCTACAAATATTGGCTGTAACACTACGTTGTACGTAAAAATGTTAAAAATCAGTCTCTCTTGGTCACTGCTCAATTAGCTAATTGATTAATTACATAATCATTATCCACTGCACATGAGGCAGTTCTCTTTGTTTGCCAGGGAGCATGCTTCAATCGCTTCTTTCTCTAACTCTGCTCTACTCTTTTGCTGCAGGACTTTCTGGGGGAAAAGATTGTAAAGCAACCCGAACCAAGCAAACATGACACGTGAAAATGTTTGTCAGTCAGTCTGTCAGTGTGTTTGTCAGTGTGTTTGTCAGTCAACTTCGTCATTACATCACTACCATCTTCAAGTTATACTGCGTAAAATCAGTATCTGTAATCTGTATTGTCTCTGTCTGAGTTTAACCAAGTTGGAAATTGTGATTTTGAGGGGCGCTGTTATTCATGTTGTTCTGGTTGGCTGGAAGTGGGAACATAGCCTGTTGATCATATGTGCCAGGATGTTGATTATCTGGGACAGAACTTTGGGAGTTTAGATAATTGTGAGGAAACTGCTGAGGGTGTATGATCGGCTCGTTCAAACTAGGCTGATAATGTTCAACTTGTTGACTGTTGAAAACATGTTGATTGGCGGCATGTTGAGGCAGAACGTAGTTCTCCGGCAAGGCCCTGATTTGAGATAACTTATTGCTGTCATTATAATTGTCGGCATATGTGTCTGTATGTTTGTCTGTTGATTTGTCATGTGATACCTTATCACTGTCTTCCTCCTGACAGGATAAGACATATAAACTCCAGCTCAGTTTGAACAATAAACACATTCTGTAGTAGTTGTACAGTAATACTGAGGTAATGGGACTACTACGGACCCTCTACCGGCCAAACCTTGTTAACAAAGCCGCAGTCAAGGTTCGGTGAACGGTAGTTAAAAGCGCTTAAGGGACATAAGTCAAAGTGGTAAAGCAACATCATGTAGTGGGCATCTTGAGTAGTCCCATTACCTTAGTATTGTACAACTACTACAGAAGTAATCCCGATAACACTCGACCTCTGCCTGATCCAGAGGATGTCACCATTTTACCTTCACACAGACATCGAACGCTGTAAGAAGATGACGATCAGACCTCGTTAATAAACACAACCATACAAATATTATTCTCCACGTTTCAACAAACCTTCTCCTTCTCCTCAGTTTTCGGAACTGCGTTTTCCTTTCTCAGTCCCTTGAGTTCCTTAATCTTAGTCTGATCCACAGTGAACTGGATAGCGTTAACTGCCGCTCTGGTCCTCAAGTAGTACATTCCAGTCTTCAATCCTGAGTATGTATAATGAATAATGTATAATGTATAGTGTATAATCCTCAATTAGTACATTCCAGTCTTCAATCCTGTGAAAATTACCCCTATATTAGACCCATTACCTTGATAATATGAGCATACTTCCCCGCTATTTAATAATAATATCAGCTCTATTATGTATAATGTATACTGTATACTGTATACTGTATACTGTATACTGTATAATGTTCACTACTGCGATATTAAAGTAGGATAATCACGCACCTCTCTTCCAAGCGTGGAAGTGCATACTGGTAATCTTACGAGGTTGAGGGTCAGCCATGAACAGGTTGAGGGACTGGCTCTGACAGATATAGGGACCTGGGAGGGGGTAACAATATTATTATAAATAAGACGAATCGAACAGAAACAAAAACCATACCAATGCAAATGGTAGGAAATATAGTAAATATAACCCGATGGGCCATGTTATGAAGTTACCTCTATCAGCAGCCATGTCGATATAATGTATAATGTATAATGTATAATGTATAATGTATAATGTATAATGTACCTCTATCAGCAGCCATGTCGATAATGCACTTCTGAGATAGTTCCCAGCTGGTTTTGTAAAGAGCTTTTATTTCATCAGGGATACCTTCTATCCTGAAACATTGCATATTAATTACCATTTAACTTATTACATATTAGTGATTTAAACATTATAAATCATACTTTCATCTACACTTCAAGGAATCAGAACCTTTAGAAATCCAATAATTACAATTAATTACTTAATTACTTGGTAATTAGTAATTACAAGACTTTGGTAGTTACTAAACTTGGTCTCAATGGTATATGTTACCTCTGAATAGACCCGTTATCTGCTATCATCTGTTGTTTGATGTCACTATCCCACACTCCTAAATCAGTGAGATCACGTAACAAATGCTGGTTTATCACCTGAAATATGTGAGTAATGTACAGTGTACACATAACTCTACCGGTACGTGCAAATCTTGGCAAACCGCCAAAAAATCAGAAACGTTCTTCGTCTAAGATGAATCATCTAATTAGGAGAAAGACTGTGAAGCGTAACCAGCAAAGTAATCTTAAACTAGGAACTAGTAGTGTAACTATGGTAACTAGTAGTGTAACTATGGTAACTAGTAAACCTGGAACTCTCCACTCAGTACCCTCCGGAGGTAGATGTTGCTGGTGTAAGGTTCTATAGCCTCGTTGTTTCCCAGAATCTGTGCTGTGCTGGCGGTTGGCATGGGAGCCAGCAACAATGAGTTCCTTATACCAGTTCTGATAAAAAGATTACATTTAATGTAGGGGGGGGGGGGGGGGGGTCAAGTTATAAGGGCAGTTAATCAAACTATAGTGTGCAAAATAAAGTTATATAAGTTATATTGAAAGTTATACAAATTATCTAAGTTATATAAGTTATATAAGTAATATAAGTTATATAAGTTATATAAGTTATATAAGTTATATAAGTTATATAAGTTATATAAGTTGACTGACCTCTTGATCTGTTTCTTAAGAGCTGCCCAGTCCCAGAGATCAGTTGGTGTAACTCCCCACATGTCGAACTGAAGATCTCCTTTACTAACTGGACTGCCTGGAATTAATTATGTAATTATGGTAATTAGCTCTCAATTATGTAATTAGCTCTAATTTCTATAAGAATAACTACTATTACTAATAATAACGGATGAATTATTTTGTATAAAACTAACCTTCGTATGTCTCGTAAGGTCCAAGTTTTTCAGCTAGTTCTGAACTAGCCTCCAAGGCACCGTAGTAGATAGTCTCAAATATCTTAATGTTTAGCTTTTTAGCAGAGTCACTGTCAAATGGGTACCTCATCAGAATGAAGGCATCGGCTAGACCCTGAGACAGTTTAACAATACAATAAGTTGTATAGTCAAAATAGAAGAATGAATACGGAGATCGAGAATGTGGTTCGAGGTTAAATCATGCACTCCTGAAACAAAGTCCCTAAATAGTCCCTAAAACAACGTCCCTAAATAGTCCCTAAATAGTCCCTAAAGCTAGCTTGGGCTTTTGACGGCAGGAGTATCACCGAGAACATTTATTAAAACGAGAAAATAAAAATAATGTGAATTAAAAAACGGGAGCAGACTTCGATTAGGATATAGAAAATGTTCACACTTATCACACTTATCGCATTAACTTTGTAAACTGATTTCTGATACATCTTACTAAAATGTTGATATTATTCTCGATAATACGTTTAATTAACGTTTAATCCGTTTAATACGTCTGCCGTCAAAGACTACTAACTTCAAGTTGCAACTGACCTGAACTCCAATTCCAATAGGTCTGTGTCTCATGTTGGACTTCCTGGCTTGCTCCAGCGGGTAGTAGGACACTTCGATTACTTTGTTTAGGTTCCTCGTCACCACCTAAAGGATATATTATACATTATATATACATTATACATTATACACCACCTACATATACATTATACATTATACACCACCTACATAATACATTATACATTATACATTATACACCACCTACAGGATATTTCATGTAAAAATTGATAGATATTGAAACGTTTGGCTACTTTTCCACCTATGTTTGGCAACACTTTCTTTTAGAGTGATTTATTGAAGATGTAGGATGAATAATAATGTTCTTTAGGTACCTAATAAGCTAATAGTTGATCTAAGTAACCGATCAATGAATGAGATCTTACTAATTCTAGGGACCAGACCCGAAGTCGGCAGTAACAACGCCGAACTAAGGACAGTAAAACAAAACCACTCCATTTTTAATCTGTTCTTATCATTTGAATCGAATATTCATAATTCAGTTCGTAACTATTTTGCAGACAAATTCGTAATTGTTCAATTTCTGTTCAGGGTCGACCACCCTTTATTCTATCAACATTTTGAATATAACCGACATAGCAATTCAATCGGTTTTATATTATCAATTAAATTATATTAAAATATAATTCTATTAATTAAGGAACTCAAGAATGTCTGCCGGCGTATAATTAAGTATGTGATCATTAGAATGTTGGGAGATGGACAGATCATTTCTTTCTGTTGTCGTCTAACATCTACATTCTACACTGTGTTTATACGTTATGTTTTGCAGCAATTCGTTATCCTTTGACATTCCACGGCGCTAAAGATTTTGAGTTGAGCAAGTTTTATGCTTACCACGTCCTCAGCCATCTTAAATAAAGCACGTCAACCGTGCAAAACTTTTACTGTGCAACATATTATATCAACTAGTAGGAACCCGTATAACCCAAAAATGGTGTCAAGACTCAAGAGACTAAAATAATTATTACCTATTTAATTCGCGTTTTTGACACCACTTGGGGGTCCAAAATTTGGGCTCTAAAACTCCTATTTCTTGGCCAATTTTTTATTTTTCCATGCTGATTTGGAGGCCATTAAAACATTTGACCCAGTCAAAAAAGTTTCAGTTGTATATCTTTTACGGTTTTTGTGGAAAGTCGCGTTAAAGTTGATGCCGTGGTGTCAGTAAAATGGTACGGAAGATTAATAATCAAATTTATTTTTAGATCCCTTGCGTCAGCAACTTTACGCATCGCTATTATATACCTTACAAGACATATTTATGTTCGAAATACTTCCGGTTACCCTTAATAAATTAGATAATAACTCAGTTTATGATAGCTTGTCATTATACTCACGGGCACGTTCAGAAAAAATGGTCATTATCCAACTAGTTCCATGACCTTCTTCAATATTGTCTGCTTTAGTAAAATATCTTGTCTTGTCAAAAAATTCAAATCATTAAATTAAAATCAATAAAACCCGCACCCTTTTCTTAAATTTACCCCCCCCCAAATTTAAAATAAAAAACCCCCCCCCCCCCCCCTTTTTTAACTATTTTTTTCAAAAATTTTTTTTTTTTTCA